TACTGCTCTTAGTCATTCCTTTATTATCTCTTGGTCTTACTGTTATTCCTCCATATGGAGACTAGTTTTTGAGTGTTATGATTCCTGATGTCTGATTTGTGTCCATTATTTCTTTTGCGGAGAGACTGTCCGGTTTGGCCAATGTACATGGCAGAGGGGCATTGCTGGCACATGATGGCATATATCACATTGGTAGATGGGCAGGTGAACGAGCCCCTGATGGTATGGCTGATGTGATTAGGTCCTATGATGATGTCACTTGAATAGATATGTGGACAGATTTGGCATCGGGCTTTGTTACAAGGATAAGTTCCTGGGTCAGTGGTTTTGTTCAGTGATGTGTGGTTGCTGGTGAGTATTTGCTTTAGGTTGGGGGGGTTGTCTGTAAGCGAGGACAGGTCTGTCTCCCAAGATCTGTGAGAGTAAAGGATCATCTTTCAGGATAGGTTGTAGATCTCTGATGATGCGCTGGAGAGGTTTTAGTTGGGGGTTGAAGATGACAGCTAGTGGTGTCAACACCACCCACACACTAAACCTATCAATTGCAATGAGACCCAAGTATTACAGCCCACGGGAGACCAGACTATTATGTGCTAAAGACAGAGAATAGGTGGGACAGAGGTGCGCCAGTGCCCAAGGATCCCGCAATAGAAGAGAAAATAAGTGAGATATATCCAGATAATCCTGGCAAATGACTGGAGAGGAAGGCAAAAGAACCCTATGGTAACATCCAATCTGACCTGGGCTAAAATTCCTTCTTCTTTGAGTGCTGTCCCTGTGGGTGCTCCATTTCAGGTGATGGTGTGTCCTGGAGCCGTTGATCGGAGATTTGTGGTCTGGTCGGGCCACGCATGCGCAGCAGCTGTCTCACAGCGCCATTGGAGTCTCTTCAGCGCATGCACAACTGACCCCCTCACTTCCATCTCAATCGTCTTCGGCTGAAGATGGAGCTTGGGGCAGTGCTACAGCTTCTTCCCTTCGAGATAGAAAAAATAGATAATTGTTAGCTCAGTTTAATTTTTTCCATAGATAAGTTAGTTTGTTAGTTGAGAAAAAAAATCTTAGTTTTCTTCATTTCCAGGTTAATGGTTCCCTGTGGAGCGCAAACCATGTAAAAAAAAAATGTCGGTCCACTCGGGACTTTACTTTAGACATGCCAGGCTCCCCTGGCTTCAAAAGATGCGGCTCTTGCAAGGAGGTTATGCTGAACTCCAACAGGCACTCCCTCTGCATGAGATGCCTCAGGGAGACACTCAGACCATCCAAGTGCATCCACTGCAACAATTTGAAGGCGAGAGCCAGGTGTGACTGGGATCTATGCCTCAAAATGATCCTAATGGAAAAATCACTCCAACCTGGATCTGAAAAGGACACCCCAAAGCCTTCCCCTAAGTGTTCCCCAACTCAGTCTGACCTGACTAAGAGCACTGTTCCACCCTCTCAAGAAAAGAGGAAGCAACCTTCGACCTCTCCACAGCGGGAACCTCACAGAAAGAAACGGTCCCCCACAAAGTCATTACAAGTGGTGCCGATGGCCCTGAGAGTCAGTACCTGTGACTCCCCTGGCTCCTCCGGCACCGGATGCACCACTCATAAGAACAAGGAGTTGAGACCGCAAACATGCCATGTCTCTTCCTCGGCACCGACAGTACCGAAAGCCGCGTTGGAGACTGCGCCGACCTTACAACCACCAGTGCCGACACAGGTCTTGGCGCAGCCACCTTCCTCAGCACTGCCCCCTCACCCAGTACTGACAGCCAGCACCGCAGTGTGGTCACTGGCCCCAACAAAGACAAAACAGAAGACTCCTAGACACCCAATGCCTACTACTAAGACATCGGTACCGCACCCACTGGCACTGCAACAATTCCTGATACAGAAGGACATCACTGTTACATCGGTGCCAGAATCACCTCTCCTTTGCAACGAGGGATCACCTATCATACAACCGACCTTGCCTATGGACCATCAGTGTTTAGTGACAGTGACAATGAGGACGAAGAGGAGCAAGTGTTTTCACCACAGGGCTTGCCCACCTCAACTAAAACCTACTGGAGTCACACCATGGCATAAAATCCATCAGTCACAACCTCACTTTCCATGGTATGGACCCCCATAGATGGGTCCCGAAATGGCATTCACTATGCAGTGGCCACCATGGGCAGCATACAAAGGTCAATATGCTTGGACCGCCTCACTGCCTATGGCACAGCTCTGGTTCCCTCCTGTATCCCCAGGGCCGGCAACATCAGGAGCTACGAAGGAGATGGCCAATGAACCAGAGGAAGAGACTGCCCCCGAAGCAGTGTCACATGAACATAACTCTTCTCCATATATAGCCATTCTGCCACCTCCACCTACCATGGCTGATGACTTTAAACAATTTCAAGAGCTATTCAAGTGCATAGCAGTCAGCCAGGACATCCCTCTAGAGTAAGTCCAAGAGTACCAGCGCAAACCATTAAAAATTCTACACCCATCTTCTGTGCCAAAAATTACCCTGCCCATCCTCAAACCTGCTGGACAGTATGGCTGACTCCGGTCACTGCCCCCTCAACATGCAAAAGGGCAGACCATGAATATTATTTCCCAATCAAGGGCATGGACTTCCTGTTTTCTCACCCACAATCAAATTCTCTAGTGGTGGAAGCAGAAAAACCACCGGGCCAAACACCGCTCTATGCCACAGGATCAAGACCATAAGTGTCTAGACCTTTTAGGTCACAAGGTCTACACCTCCTTGATGCTACAATTCCGCATTGCCAACTAGAGTGCCTCCTTGGCTAAATATGACTTTGACAATTATGGGAAACTCTTTGAGTTTACCGTGTACATACCAGAAGACAGAAGAGCACAATTCAAATCAACCCTGGTCAAGGGACAATTGTCACCAGGACAGCTCTACAGGCTTCCCTGGATATCACTGATACTGCAGCCCGTACCATGGCTATAGTGATAGTGATGTGCAGAGCCTCGTGTCTGCTATTGTCTGGCATACCAAAAGAGCTCCAACTAAAGGTTGAGGACCTACCTTTCAATTAGAACAAACTGTTTTAGGCAAAAACTGATGAAGTCCTACACACCATGAAGAAGTGACCCTTCATACACTTGGCATATATACACTGCCCCCAAAAAGGAAGCAATACCAACCATACCAACGAAACCGGGATACTCAATACACTCGCCCTCACAGCTCACAGGTGATTCCTGCAATTCAGTGGGACACGACCACTATCAATACAGTGTGCTCCCATTTGGACTCTACACTGCACTGAGAGTGTTCTTCAAAACCCTTGCAGCAGTCACAGTTCACCAGGCAAACAAGGGATCAGAATTTTCCCTGACATAGACAATTGCCTTATCAAAGGATACTCATGCATAGAGGCAGAAACAATCACATGACTGACCATAAACCTCTTCAAAAACTGGGGTTGCAAATAATTTTTCAAGAGTTCACATTGATACCCACACAACAACTAGAATTCATTGGAGCACACCTGGACTCAACTCAAGCCACAGCCTCACTACTGCATGCCAGATTCTTAACCATCAAACATCTCATAGACACCATATCCATCTGTCCACGAATCGAAGCATGGACATGCCTACAATTACTAGGACACATGGCCACCAGCATGTTCGTGGTAAAACACGCTAGATTACACATGCAGTGTCTTCAGAGGTGGCTGTGTTCAGTATAAACCCACCAAACACAACCTCAACATGATGTAAACACCACCGACCAAGGTTTTAGAATCCCTACAATGGTGGCCAAGACCGGAGAACATCTGCATAGCTGTTCCCTTTCACCACAGACCTCCTTCAATCATGATCACAACAGATGCCTGCCTATGGGGCTTGGGGGCACACCTGGACCACCAAATGATATAAGGCAGGAGGTCGACACTGGAAACACACCTTCACATAAACCTGCTAGAACTCAGAGCAGTAAGATGCACCTATCTTCACTTCCTACCACTCATAAGAAACAAATCAATCTGAGTGATGACAGACAATGTTGCATGCATGTTCTACATCAACAGACGAGGTGCGGGGCGATCTCTTTCCCTATGCACTGAAGCCATGAGACTATGGAAGTGTTGTATTCAGCACCACATCGACATTTCAGCTTCTTACCTACCAGGATGCAAAAACTTCACCTCTGACACATTAAGCAGACAGTTATCACAAGAGTACAAATGGGAACTGAACCCTACGGTCTTACAATGAATATTCTATCAATGGGAGTTCCCATCAATCGACTTATTCACCCCAGCACAGAACCACAAATGCCCGCTATTTTGTTCCAGGGTGGGACTTGGTCCCCGGTCCCTGGGGAATGCTTTCTTAATCCGATGGGACAAGACATTTATGTATGCATTCCCACAGATCCCACTAATACACAGAGTCCTACGCAAGACCAGGGAAGACAAAGCCAAGATCATCTTGTTTGCCTGAGTATAGCCCAGACAAACTTGGTACCCTTACCTGCTGCGTATGTCAATTCGTCCTCCACAAACTCTTCCAATGAGGCCAAACCTCCTGTCACAGGCCGATGGTCAGATCTTCTACCCACAACTGGAGAAGCTCCATCTGAATGCGTGGCTCCTCCATGGTTCTAATCACACGAGTTAACTTGTTCAGAGCAGGTCAAACACGTGTTATTGAACATCAGACATGATTCCACATGCAATATTTACCTACGAAAGTGGAAATGTTTTTCCACATGGTACCTACATAAATTACTTACTCCCTGCACTACGCCCCTTCCACTGGTGCTAGACTACCTTGTAGAGCTAAAGATTTCAGGGTTATCACTGAAATCTATCAAAGTACATCTTGTGGTGATTAACACCTTCCATAACAAAGTCGATGGATTCTCGATGTTTACACATCCAACTACAAAACGCTTTCTTGCGGGACTCCAGAACATTTACCCTGAAATACACCCTCCCACACACACATGGGATCTGAACTTAGTCCTCAGCGAACTCATGAGACCCCCTCCTTCAAACCCCTAACTATCTGCTCCTTACTACATCCAATCTAACCTGGGCTAAAATTTCTTCCCTACCCCACATACGGTGATCAGCGAGACCCTAAGCATGTGAGCAAGAACCAGCCAGCAAAGAGAGAATGCTCAGTGCCACCTCAAAGCCCTGGCCCCACTCCCACCAATATCCCATCTCCAGCCATGGTCATCGTCTGATGCTTTAGCAGAAAATGAAAACACCTTCCCAGAATACATTGGAGGAAGGGGGGCAAAAATCCCTTCCAGACCCCTGTCAGTGGCTGGCCAAACCCCTGAAGCATGAACTTCTGGAACATGGGACTTAAACCAGAAGTGAGCTCGAGTGTTGTTGACACCTGTCCCCTACCATCACAAGCAGCCCCGTCTTAAAATTGCCCTAAAAAGTTTGTCCAGATCTTTGGTAAAACTAAGGAAGTTGTTTGTCCATACAACTTCTATTGGGAAGCTGTTTCAGAACCGCATCCCTCTGATGGTCAGCCTTCTGCGGGTGGCATCTGACTCAGATGATGAAAATTAACATGCATCGGTCCGCTCTGCTTTGGATCGTTATCGATCAGAACCTGTTATCATCATGGACGCATGTCCTCTGGAATGGTGGTTGAATCATGAAGGGACAAATGAATTTGTAGTGCATCTGGCACATAAATATCTTGCGACACCGGCTACAACAGTGCCATGTGAACACCTGTTCTCACTTTCAGGTGATATTGTAAACAAGAAGCGGCATTAAGTCTTGCAAATGTAAACAAACTTGTTTGTCTGAGTGATTGGCTGAACAAGAAGTAGGACTGAGTGGACTTGTAGGTGCTAAAATTATACATGCTTTTATTTTTAATGGAGTTATTTTTGGACATAATTCTACATTTGTAAGTTGAACTTTCATGATAGAGATTGCACTATAGTACTTATATTTGGTGAATTGAAAAATACTTTTCTTTTTTTTTACAGTGCAAATATTTGTAATGAAAAATAATAATATACAGTGAACACTGTACACTTTGTATTCTGTAGTTGTCACTGAAATCAATATATTTGAAAATGTAGAAAACATACAAAAATATTTAAATAAATTGTATTCAATTATTGTTTAACGGTGCAATTAATCACACAATTCATTGTGGTTACGTTTTTTTATCACATGATTAATCGTGATTAATTTTTTTAATCGCTTTAACAGCTCTAAAAAAAATACTCTGCGCTTATGTAATTAAAGACGGTATCATAATACAAACACACAAGGAGGCTGAATTAAAGTTGCATATGCAACAGGCATCTTTAGTTCTGGCATTTATTAACTCTTGAATACTTGACTTCTGCAACCTGTATATTCCTTTTACACTTGTTTTGTATGTGTGCATGTGTGTGTGTGTATTTCTGATGGATCTCAGTTTTCGATAAAGGTCAGCTAAAGAGTAGGATTCTTTTTTCCCCAGAGGCCACACTACAGAGTAAACTATGTGAATCCTTACACACTCTCCCTCCTTAACAAAAGTGGTACTGGTACTGCCCCTCTCCCAGACATCTATGTCCTGTTTCCTCCTAGCTCTCTTAACTATCATGCATGGGGGACCCTGCATAGCTCAGCTCTGTGCCACAATAGACAATGTGCATCTCCTGTATGGCTGCCACACAACATACTCTTGCACCTCCTGCCATTTGCTCGGTGGAATGCCCCTGGTTTCACCACTCAGGAAATAGGCTGGATTAGAGCCTTGAGCAGCTTATAGCATCTGAGTTAACTAGAAAAATAACTTCAATTACAATAACAGTTTCTTTACTTTATGATGGTGTGTTTATGCTCTTGTTATGGAGCAGGAAGATGAACTGCTCACAATGAGAGGCCATTACAAAATGTCTTATTTTAAGCCCACAGTTGTACTTCATTAACTATAATGCAGTTCTCTGAGTCAATGCAATATGATTATGATGCTAACTAAATGCTGAGAATAGCTAATAAGGATCTATGGACTGCACATGTTTTTATCTATTAACTGTTCTGGTTCGTAATGAACTTTTATATTTACCATTGTTTGAATCAAGAGATCTAACTGAAATATCTTTTGCTAAAGAAAGAAAATGCCCACCTCCACCTCAGCTCCCGGGTGCCATCAAGATCACAGAGACACGAAACTACGAGAATGGTGAAAAAATAGCTTTTACGTGCCTAAAAGATTTTGAACACCAAGGAGTGAAAGAAATAATGTGTGAAAACGGGAAGTGGCAATCACCACCGCACTGTGTTGGTCAGTATGGGGCTTTATTTATATTTCTTTAGGTTCATCAGTCAGAGGAAATGTACAAACAGTATCAGTAACAGGACAACTGCCATGTCACTGATTGCCCCTTACACATTGTGGTAGTTAGTGTTCACGTATTTTGTTAAGAACCAATCGTTCGGTGCAGAAAAGTGTTGAAAAATAAAATGCACAAAGTAATCAGACCTGTAATACTGGACTAATGGGTTAAAGGATTTGAATCGTATGCAGTGTGTTAATGGGTTAAAAATGAACTAGAGTCTGAAAAATGAATATAGTAATGTCAAAAAGTACAATCTGATATCAGAACCTAATCATTTTTTATCCTACCACTAAGGGTGAAAGAAGGGAGTATTAAGGGAGAAAAGGTTCAAAGCACAGATGGGACTCTCAATGTTTATTTAATAAAATTAAGTGCTGTGGAAAAACATATACAAATGTTGGTATGTTTTGTGTGTGTGTATACTAAGCCTCATATACATACACACAAAATTTATAATTTAATGTTGCAAAATCAAGCATTCAAAAATGAGGAAAAGCCATAATTAAAGCTGGCTGTGCAACCATAATTTAATGTTAATTTCAATGACATAAGCACACACAATTTTTTTCCTACAGGATCTCTGCCTCATCCTGTGCGAAGGATAGTTGCTCACCTAATGAGCAGCCAATATTTTGTTTCATCCTCATTATTCAATATGGGGCCTAGTGTTTATTTACTGCATGCTACTCAATCCCTGCTCGGAGTGCACAATTTTATATTTCCTCCTTGGCTTTTATGTGGTACTTAACACTATATGAGCTGAGTGCTTTGCAAATCTGAATTAATTTATTTTCACAACACCCCTCTGAATTGTTTTGTGTATATGTGAGTGTATGTATAGCAGGAATTATGAAGATATAACTAGTGATTAGATAATTAAGGCTGTGAATTAATTTTTGCAATTTAAACTAGTTTAAAATTCCTCTATTTCAAAATTTAATTATTTAATTTAACCACAACATTTAATACAGTGGTTCTTCAGAGGAAATTTTTTTATTTATTATTTTATTTTATTTTTTGGTGGGGAGGGGGAAAATATTTACTAACTTTTAGAGTGGGAACTTTTATATAATTTATTCTTTCTTTCAAAATTGTCCATGAGATTCTAAGCATCTTTTCAGGTCCCTGCAGCTAAAGGCTCCCAGTCCCTTCAAATTTCAAACCAGATGCAAAATCTCAGAACATCAGGCATATGTCAGTTTTCAGGGTTTTTTTTTTTTTACTTGAAAAGTTATTATTTTATTCCTCACAAATTAAAGTAATTTTGTGGGCTGGAAGGAACGGAGCAGACCAAGCAGCTAATGCCATTCTCCAGCACAGCCTTCCTGAGCTCACTAGCCTTCCTGCTTTCTTTCAAAAACTCTTCTTGAGATTTCTTTTTCTCTTGAAAATTTGAATATTCTGAAGCCCCATGGACCTCCCTACTCTTTCTTTTCATCCTGTTATTTCTTTTCTGTGTATCTTAGGGACAAATGGTGCTTCTCCGGGTAACCAGCAGAACTTTAAAATTATTTCTAAAAATATTTTAACTGGCCAAAAATATAACTCCATTCAAGCTAACGTAGAAAGCCATACAGATGTGGGTTTCAGATAACATTACTGTACATTAGAGTCAAAACCAGTGCTTCTAATGCAAGCTATGTTTGCATATTAGTTTATAATTCATTGTTCATTGCTTCTTTGTAACACACACTATCTCCTTTAGAAGTAGAGTTGCAATAGATCCCATCCATTTTCTCTTAGTAAATCAGATTCAGATTCTCATCAGAATCTAACTGATTTTACTATATAATTCAGTTTTAGAGTGGCCCTTGCTGTCTGATAATGATCTCCTGACTAGATACTTTAAAACAAAGAAATTTGAAGAATCAAAAATAGATTTAGCTTCTTCATAATATTATATTGACACCATTTTCCATTTGTGCAACCCATTCAGATTTATACTCGAGGATCAGATACAATCCCTAGGAGAACTCTCTGAGAAAAAATTGAATTTCTTCCTTCCCCATCCTGATTGATAATCAAACAGAATGTTGAATGGATTTAAGTGTCCCTCTCTTGTTAAACCCAATATAACTATCTAAATCCCATGTAATATGTTAATTCAGGAATACTTGGCAAACTCAACATAATTCACTGATACCAAACAAGTGCACTCGGAATGACATGACTGAAATCTCTCATTCATCTAGAGTAACATTAGGAGTAAAAGGTCTTTTGGCCCCCATTTGAACATACCTACCTGTTTCATCAGGGCTTAAGAGAGATCTAGGGTTTTTGATCCTCCTCATGCAGAGGTTGCATCTACACTACAATGTTTTATAGCTCTCTCCCAGGATAAGTGCAGTTCCAGCAATTGAGCCTCCTCTGGTGTAGACCGGACTCTAGTATTTTTAGCATCAAATCATGAAACCCTTTACGTTACCATGCACTGTTGCAATTTCACTTGTTCTGGAAAATGAATATAAAAACTTTAGTGTAGACAAAGCATTAGAGACTTCCTTTCATTTCTGAACTCCTACAACAAGATGACATGACACCACATACACTTCACTGTTTGTAATGAATGAACCATGTTTAATAGACTATACGCATTTAATGCACCCCTGCAGTATGATCTAGAATCCAGCTATTATTTGGGGCTTGAGGCAATGGGAAATCATGTTTAGGGTGGGTTAATCTAGAATGTTCCCCAGCCTTAAAAAATCACCACAATTTATTTTCACTGCAGTTCACTGTTACTTTCTCTTTCAGTTTTAGACTATATGTGCATATGACATACTAATTTTATTTTTTTTCAAAACAGAAGAAAAATTATGTTTCCAGCCACCTTCCATAGCAAATGGTGAGATTCTCAGTCTAGAAAATCAGAACTTAAGACAGGAGCAATCAGGACCAGTGACATATCGGAATGGTACCATGTTAACGTACAGTTGTAACCCTGGCTTCATGTTACGTGGACCACCTGAGATAATTTGTAAGACTGGAAAATGGACCTCAGCTCCTACATGTGTTGGTAATTACATTGTGTAGAATTTTCAAAAGCAGTTCATTTAGTGGAGCAGACAATAAGTTTCAACTGGAGGCTAAATTATAGGAAAGAATGATTATGTATGTAACCCTTCTGGGAGGTGGAGCCAGCAGCAACTAGGGCCAGGTTCAGTGGGGTTCCTTTTCAACAATACAACACAAAACCGGCTTGAGCTCCACCCAGTGACCTGGAACAATTACACATCACCAGTGATGAGCTCCCAAAATCCTAAGAACCGGTTCCCTACCGGTTCCCCGGTGGCACTTTGCTGGCGGGGGGGTTGCACGCACTCCGGGTGAAGGACCTCCCTCCAAAATGCCGCCGAAAACCCGGAGCGAGTGAGGAACCCCCCTCCCCGCTGCCGAAGTGCCGCCGAAGACCCAGTAGGGAACCACGTGGTGAGTACAAGCCCCACATGCCTGTCTTCCCCCCCCCCACGTCCTGCCTCCGACTGCCCCCCTCAGAACCCACAACCCATCAACGCCCCCCGCTTCTTGTCTCCTGAACACTCCCTCCCGAGACCCCCCACCCTAACTTCCCCCCAGGACCCCATCCCCTACCCAACTTGCCCCGCTTCCTGTCCCCTGACTGCCCTGACCTCATCCACCACCACCCTGACAGACCCCTGGAACTCCAACAACACCTACCCAACCCCCCCGTTCCCGTCCCCTGACTGTCCCCCAAGAGCCTCTGCCCCTTATCCAACCCCTCTCTCAGACCCAGCCTGGACCCCTTACCATGCTGCTGTGTAAGGATGCCGCGCGGCCTCTGGAGCTCACAGCCCCACCCCCTAACCATGCTACTCAAAGTGGCAGGAGCTGCAGAGCTGCCCAGAGCGCTGGCGCCAGCAGCGAGGCGGCACTGGGGCTCTGCGGGGGGGGAGGGGGGGGGGGACGGAAGCGGGGGAGGGGCCAGGGGAGCCTCCCCAGCTGGGAGCTCAGCCGGGCAGGACGGTCCCGCGGGCCAGATGTGGCCCACGGATCGGAGTTTGCCCACCCACCCCCCTCTTTAGGAACCGGTTCTACACCGGCTTCTAAATTTAACAACCAGTTCTTGCGAACTGGTGCGAACCGGCTTCAGCTCACCAGTGCACACCACCCCCTGGTATGGGGTATGCCAGGTATAGTTCTGCTGCCCTCGGTTCACACAACAAGGTGGATAATCCTTTATTACTGCTTCCCCAAAACAAGGAGACTGGGGATCCAGCACCAGCCACAAGTGATCATTTGGGCAAGCAATCCCATCATGCTGAGTACCTAGGCAGGGAGGGTGTGTCCATGCAAACGAGATCAGCTTCTGAAGTCTTTTTCCACAGCTCACCACTAGATGTCAGGGGAGAGCTTATTCAGACTCTGCTTACACGTATATTTGTTCAAATTGCTGTAAAAGCTTATTTTTCTTGCTGAGGGTCTTTAGAAAGCTTCTGACTGTGTGACTGCTTCAGGATTTTTGGTTAATTGGTTGTTTTTTGTTTGTTTTGAGTAGTTTTAGTTTTCAAAAGCTCCCAACTAGGACTCAGGAGGTCTTCATTCAGTTCCTGGTTCTAATGCACAAACTCCCTTTATAGTCTTGGGCAAGTCTTTTTAACTCTGTGTCTCAGCTTCCCACCTGTAAAATGAGGATAATAGTATTCCCTATTTGATAGTGGGGTTGTGAGGATAAATCCATTAATAGTTGTGAGGCACTTACATATTATAGTGACAGGGGCTATATCAAGTTCCTACATAGACAGATGTATTTTCATCAAAGTTCTGATGAAGGAAGCAGACACACCACTGCATGAGGTGTCCAGAAGAAGAGGAACAGCTGCAATTATTGGTCTCAGACAGAGGCACAAACTAAATTTCATTAGTAACTGAACTCCTAGTGTATTTAGGGCTGGTGTTTATTTAATTTTCTGATGGATTTTTAACAGTGCTCATGTTGCAAGTTTCATTGCCGACCAACAACTTAGTGCATGTGTTTAGGTTCTGGTTGCAACCTTGATTTAAAATTAGGTATCCATATAAAGAGTAACAAAGGACTTAACTAAAAAAGGTGGCGGGGGGGAGGGGGTTACACTCATTTTAATCTTGTGTGTGTGTGTGTCTTTTCAGAAATGCCATGTACAGATGTTCCAAATATTATCAATGCTCAGACTGAAGGCAGAGTGAAGAATAGGTATGAGCCTGGTGAAACAGTACGTTATCAATGCCATCCTGGTTTTATCATCAGTGGATCATCAGATGTTACGTGTAAAGCAGGAAAGTGGTCCACACAACCTATATGTGAAGGTACAGTGAGTAATTTGATCTAACTTTATAGAATCTAGTTACTCATTTCTTATTATTTTTATGGACACTCAGAGACCACCTGGATGGGTCAGACAGATAGAATAGACTACAGAATGCTGATGCAGAAACAATAAGTAGACAAATCATGCACTGATCATTTCAAATACAGAGGGGATTGGGAGGAATCAGTGTTTGCCAAAAGTGGGGGAAAATAGTAGAACAATAAATCTTTTTTCCAAGCTGCTAAGAATATTAATTTAAAATAAATTTAAAAAATATAAAATGTGTGCTCACTCTCTGCCCTTTTAATATATTACAATTCCCAGGATGTACTTGTCAGTATACAGAACTCAGTTCAGCAGTCTTTTCTCTCCTTTAAGTCATTACGTCAATGGGTGTTTTGTCTGGAAATCAGAGCCATCTTTGCGTCCAACTCCGGGTCCTGCTACTCAAGCACTCAGGGATTTAAAGGCATTGCTGATGGAGAAAGACAGACTGCTTATTACAGAATCAAGAGCCATGTTATCAGCCCTGACTGTGTCAATTCTGAAGAAGGTGGTAAGGGAGAAGACGGCCACTGTGAGCAGTGCCAGATCCCATAGATCAGAGTTTTCAGATCTGTCAGATTCTGACAGGGCCTCTATGGCTCTGGCTCTGAAATACAGGCCAGTTCTAATTTCAGCTTCAAGGACCAAGTGGGCGGATCTGAGTATTTCACCAGATCCTGTGCCATCCAGGTCTTCCACTCTGGCTTTGACAGCTGCTCCAATTTCAGGTCCTTCTTTGGATCCAAAAAGGACTTTTACTTCAGTGGCTGATGTACAATCATTCAGCTATAAACACTCTTCAGATCTAAGTGAGAAACAAGGGTCTTGAGGAAGGCACTCTTCACCAATTCCAAGGTTTGGGTCATCTTCATCTAAAAAAGAAAGGCAGAGATTATTAGTTTCTCTCTTGATCCATCTCTGCCTTCTTCTCCTCCTCAGCCTCCTACATGGTATCCACAAACAGCTCTCTCTCCATTTATTTCTCTCCACCCTCCAGGTCCATTGCTGCCTCCATTACACTCCATCACACATCCAAAATCAATTCCATTATTTATATGAAGATAGAGGAAGAATAAAGAGAACTGTTTCTTCCCAGTTTGTGCCTCCTCCTGAGGATATGTTCTGAATACAAGTTGCTGTGGAGACTGGCAGCCCTAGGCTCTATGGCCTTATTGAGTGCTGATGCTGTAACTTTATAGCTGTTCTCCATATGGATGGAGATATGATGATTCATCTATACAGGATCTGGCTGCAGAGAATCCTTGCCTCTAGTTACAATGGATCTGTCTGCATCTCAGACAGATACTCTGTCTGCTGCCTGATACTCTGTCTGAAGAAGAGGAGGAGATAACTCCTCTTTTTAAATAAAAACATGCTGACACAGACTACTCTTCTGATTTGTCGCTAGATGAGAAAAATATCGGGGAGAATTCTACCTCTTCCCCTTCTCATGGCAGCGGAGTTTCATGACCTGATGGATCACATGATGTCCATGTTGAACTTATATTCCATAGCCATGGAAGAAACCTACCCTCTAGTGTTTGGAGGAAGCTCTTGGTGCCACCTCCAAGAGTAGGATGTCACTACCAATTCTTAATGTTTTGCTGCAGCCTGCTAAGATTATTTGTTCCACTTATATAAGAACATAAGAACGGCCGTACCAGGTCAGACTAAAGGTCCATCTAGCCCAGAATCCTGTCTACCGACAGTGGCCAATGCCAGGTGCCCCAGAGGGAGTGAACCTAACAGGCAATGATCAAGTGATCTCTCTCCTGCCATCCATCTCCACCCTTTGACAAACAGAGGCTAGGGACACCATTCCTTACCTATCCTGGCTAATAGCCATTTATGGACTTAACCACCATGAATTTATCCAGTTCTCTTTTAAACGCTATTATAGTCCTAGCCTTCACAACCTCCTCAGGTAAGGAGTTCCACAAGTTGACTGTGCGCTGCGTGAAGAAGAACTTCCTTTTATTTGTTTTAAACCTGCTGCCTTTTAATTTCATTTGAGGACCCCTAGTTCTTGTATTATGGGAATAAGTAAATAACTTTTCCTTATCTACTTTCTCCACATCACTCATGATTTTATATACATCTATCATATCCCCCCTTAGTCTCCTCTTTTCCAAGCTGAAGAGTCCTAGCCTCTTTACTCTCTCCTCATATGGGACCAGTTCCAAACCCCTAATCATTTTAGTTGCCCTTTTCTGAACCTTTTCTAGTGCCAGTATATCTTTTTTGAGATGAGGAGACCACATCTGTACTCAGTATTCGAGATGTGGGTGTACCATCAATTTATATAAGGGCAATAATATATTCTCAGTCTTATTCTCCATCCCCTTTTTAATGATTCCTAACATCCTGTTTGCTTTTTTGACCGTCTCTGCACACTGTGTGGACATCTTCAGAGAACTATCCACGATGACTCCAAGATCTTTTTCCTGACTTATTGTAGCTAAATTAGCCCCCATCATATTGTATGTATACTTGGGGTTATTTTTTCCAATTGTGACAGACCCAGACCAGTGGGGTACAGGAGTCTGGTAGAGGGCAAATATACTGGTCACTGGATGAGTAGTTTTCTATTCCCTGAGTGACCAGAGAAGGGGCTGCACTAGAGTAATCAGGAACCTGCTAGAACCAGTTAAGGCAGGAAGGCTAATTAGGACACCTGGAGCCAATTAAGAAGAAGCTGCTAGAATCAATTAAGGCAGGCTAATCAGGGCACCTGGGTTTTAAAAAGGAGCTCACTTCAGTTTGTGGTGAGAGTGTGAGGAGCTGAGAGCAAGAGGCGCAAGGAGCTGAGAGTAAGAGGGTGTGCTGCTGGAGGACTGAGGAGCACAAGCATTATCAGACACCAGGAGGAAGGTCCTGTGGTGAGAATAAGGAAGGTGTTTGGAGGAGGCCATGGGGAAGTAGCCCAGGGAGTTGTAGCTGTCATGCAGCTGTTATAGGAGGCACTATAGACAGCTGTAGTCCACAGGGCCCTGGGCTGGAACCCGGAGTAGAGGGCAGGCCTGGGTTCCGCCAAAACCTCCCAATTGACCTGGACTGTGGGTTCTTCCAGAGGGAAAGGTCTCTGGGCTTTTCCCTAACCCACATGGTGAATCTCTGAGGCAAGAAAATCTGCCAATAAGTGCAGGACCCACCAAGAAAGAGGAGGAACTTTGTCACACAATGCATTACTTTACATTTATCCACATTAAATTTCATTTGCCATTTTGTTGCCCAATAACTTAGTTTTGTGAGATCTTTTTGAAGTTCTTCACAGTCTGCTTTGGTCTTAACTATCTTGAGCAGTTTAGTATCATCTGCAAACTTTGCCACCTCACTTCTGCCCCTTGCCAGCTTATTTCTGAGAAGAAAGTCAAATTATATAAGATAATCAGGATGAGGTGTTTTCATATTTTCACACACATCCTGTATCTAATTCACTGGTGGTGGCTACTGCCATTAGCAGTTTGAGGTCTGGACTAGCATATTTCACTCCTGATGACTGGGGGGAAAATATTGATTCATTGGGGAGAAAGGTGTTTTCTTCTTCCTTTCTTAGTATTAGGGTGGAAAGCTATCAAGCAGTTATGGCCTGCTATCAATTCCACCTATGGGAAAAGATAGCATTGTTTCTGCAGGATTTGCCAGATGATAAACAGAATTTACCAAATGAAATCCTAATGGAGGGTCGAAATGTAGCAAAGCCCACGCTCAGGGCCTTCTTTAATGCTTCAGACTCTTCTGCCAGAGCATTGGCTTCTGAAGTTACTCTGAGGACACATGCTTGGGTTTGCTTTTTTACTCTGGCTCTCAATACTAGAATAAAGGTAGAGGAAGTCCCCTTCGAAAGAGATAGTCCTTTAAGTAAAAAGATGGATGAGTTGCTGGGAAAACTGAAGGAGCCATGAATGACAGCCTGCTCTTTGTGTTTGATTTATTCTATTAAGAGTATATTTTCTACCCCTTCTTTCCATAATCAGAGACATTATTATCCACAATCTTCTTTGGCTTATTTCTCATCAAATCAAAGATGTCAGCAACGACACCAGCGGGCTACATTTTTCCAGAGGTATCACAAGAAGAGGTCTTTCAAATTGAGGCCTAAATCAAAATAATCTGGTTTCTCCCTGACATCTTCGTTGAACACCAGGCTTCCACTTTGATGTGATGATCAAGAGTAGCAAATGAAATTGCAATGACTCGTCCCTTCCTCTTATGGAGAAAGGCTAACCCATCTTATCAGCAAATGAAGGCTTAATATATTAGATAAATGGGTCATAGAAATTAGAGAGAAGGGCTATGCCATTCAGTTAGAGAAACTAACCCCTTCAAGTCCCCCTATCATCCCTTTCCAGGGAACTTTTTCACAAGGCTCTGCTACTTTCAGAAGTGTAGAAATTACTGCTTATATGTGCTGCCAATAAGGTATCTGAACAGCAGAGGGACCAGGGGTTTTATTAAAGATACTTTCACATGCAGAAAAAAGACTGGGAGGTTTCATCCAATTTTAGATTTCAGAAATTTGAACAAGTACATTTGGATGTTTTGGTTCCATATGTTAACTCTGGCTTCCATAATGCCTTCGCTTTCAGCTATGGATTGGTTTGCAACTCGATTTAAAGGACAAATATTTTCATATTTCTATCTGACAGAGTAATTGAAAGTATTTTCATTTCTTGGTGTCAGGACGCCATTTCCCATACAAGGTGTTTGCATTTGGCCAATCCACAGCACCAAGAGTATTTATCAAATGTCTCTCTGTGGTAGAATCACATTTGAGAAAACAGGATATTTTTTGTTTACATATTTGGATGATTGGCTGTTGAAACGTGGGGCTACATCTGAATGTCAAAAAGTCAAATCTCTACCTAACTCACATAATTTTATTCATGTGCTCCTTAGTGCACACAGCAGCAGTGAAAAATCTTCTTACCAGAGAACAGATTTTTTTTTTAAATAGCGCAATATATTTTAAACATAAAATATGTCAAACTTAGAAAATAATTTTATTCCTGTGTCTCATGGTCATGACTACTTGTATGACTCCATTTGTGCATCTTAAAATAAGGCCAATGCAGCATTGGATGTCTCAGGTATACAGGCCAAATCTGAACAGTGTTCTAACACTAGTCAGCCTGCCTTCTAGACTTGTGGTGGTGGTCAGTCAGAGCAGTTATCCTCTTAGGAGTCCAGTTCAATTCCCCCTTCACCATCAGTGAGAGAAAATTGAACCCTTGGCTGAGTATTTTTTTTATTTTTTATATCTTAAGGCAGCATTCATTATTGTCATGTCACCAGCCAGAAGGGTGAGTGAATTAAATGCCTTGATGGCTGATTCCCCCTTTAAGTCTTTTCATAAAGATAAGGTGATTCGTAGACTTGATCCCAGGTTTTTGTCAAAATGACTTTCTGAATTTCACATAAATCAGACATTTTTCCCGGGCCACATACTAAGAAGGGGAAATCTGTTTTATGTACTTTGGATTCAAGAAGAGCTCTTGCATATTCTTTAAATAGAACAAAAAAGGTTTTGAAAATAATCTAGGTTATTCGTGTTTTATATTAAAAGTTTCATGCATCAGACTTTGTCTCTCTAGACTATTTCTAGAAGGATTAAATAATGAATTGTTGAATGTTACATGTTAACAAATTCTTGTACCTCGGATACTGTGATCTCATTCCACCAGAGCTGTGGTAGAGTCTTTTGCTTGCCTTAAGCAAGTCCCTTTTCTTTCAATTGGCAAAGTTGCAACGTGGACTTCTGTGCACACTTTTACTAATCATTATGTTCTCAATTAGGCTTCTAGGGCAGATACTAGATTTGGTAGAGCAGTGCTCTGTGATGTCCTCCAGTTTATTTTCCTCATTGGTTTTCAAACTACTCATAAGTGGGGATATGCAGAGCCACTGGAAGAAGAAATGAAGATTATTTACTTGTAAAACAGAGTTTTTTAAAATGGCTATTCATATTCACACATCGCACCCACTTTCCCCTCTTTCTCAGGGTCCTTTTGCGTTGTATCTCTGGGTTGGCAGTGAAAGGAACTGAGGTGATAGAGTGTGCCCATGACCCATTATATTGCTTCATCCTCAGAATGTTCAGAGACAGAGAGGAAAGGGATAGAAGAAGTGTGCATAAACGCTTTAACAGATGCTGCTTGAAGAAGGTTCAACCATTAAGCATAATTAGGCAGCACAATACCCCACATGTGCGAATCTCAAAGAGCTTCAATTACAAGTAAATAACCTCCTGTAACTATGCTGGTTCTGGTGGGACCCAACTGAGAGTGCCAATTCAGGACAAATTGCTTAAAACAGGGCAGTAACAGCCCAAGGCTGGGTTTTTTCCACCTATAAGGCAAACCAAACCAGCCAGACAAAGAGGACTTTGGTCTCACCCCACGGGCTAACCACAAGTCACACAAGCAATTCCCTTAGACACTCCAGTTTCCCAGTATCACCACCAGTGCCACTCGTTATGGGGACAAATGGTTATGAAAACCAATACCCCAGTAAAAGAAAAAAGGTTCTCTCAATCCCAAAGGACCAAGCCCCAGAGCCAGGTCAATAAACAAATTAGATCTTACCCACAAATCATGCTGTTGCCAATCCTTTAGAATCTAAAATCTAAAGGTTTATTCATAAAAAGAAAAAGATATAGATGAGAGCTAGAATTGGTTAAATGGAATCAATTACATACAGTAATGGCAAAGTTCTTGGTTCAGGCTTTTAGTAGTGATGGAATAAACTGCAGGTTCAAATCAAGTCTCTGGAGTACATCCACAGCTGGGATGGGTCATCAGTCCTTTGTGTAGAGCTCCCATTTGTAGCAAAGTCCTTCCAGAGGTAAGAAGCAGGATTGAAGACAAGATGGAGATGAGGCATCAGCCTTTTATAGTCTTTTCCAGGTGTAAGAACACCTCTTTGTCCTTACTGTGGAAAATTACAGCAAAATGGAGTCTGGAGTCACATGGGCAAGTCCCTGCATATTTTGCAGAGTTACAAGGAGTATCTGCCTTCTCTCAATGGGTCAATTGTATAGCTGATGGTCCTTAATGGGCCATCAAGCAGGCTACTCAGAGCTGACACGAACTTGTCTGTGGTGTCATCCAAAAGCATAGCAGAAATTTGAAATACAGACAGTATAGAGCCAATATTAATAACTTCAACTACAAAAATGATACACATATACAGATAGCATAACCATAACCAGCAAACCATAACCTTGTCTTAGACACCCTATTTGACCCCCTTTATATAAGATTCGGTGCCACTACAGGACTTGGTTGCAACAATGATCTATACGGTCCCATTTCATGTCAATAACAGCATGCCTCCATTTATGTAAGTGCACTTTTTGATGGAACATAACATATTTCATGAAAATAAGATACTACATTAATAGAGTTTCACTACTAGTATGTTTATTTGTCTCTCTCCCTTTTCAGATGCAACATGTAGCGCTCCACCTGAAGTTACCAATGCTGATATTGTAAATAATAAGGAGGGAAGGTATCTGCCTGGTGATAGAGTGCAATATAAATGTCAGGAAGGATTTGAAAGTATGGAATTAAATTATGTAATTTGTGAAGATGGAAAATGGTCCCAACCACCAATTTGCAAAGGTAGGTTTTTGTATTTTAATTAAAACAAGTAAGACCAGGTGCACTTTGGTGAGCTGGGAGCATACAATCATAGGACTGGAAAAGAACTTGAGAAGTCGTCTAGTCCATCCCTCTGCATTGAGGCAGGATTAAGTATACCTAGATAATCCCTGACAGGTAACCTGTTTTTAAAACCTCCAATGATCTAGATTGTACAGCATCCCAAAGTAACCTGTTTTGGGACTTAACTTTCTAACTATGTAGACAGTAGTTAGGGTGGAACATTTACCTTTCTTGTTTTACATATGACATTCCTATTAATACTTCCCAGAATGACATTTGCCCTTTCCACAACAGCATCACACTTTTGACTCATTCAATTTGTGATCCACTATAGTCCCTGCGTCTTGAAGTGCTTGCACCTGTCCATTCCACTTTGGTTGTGTGTGCACTAGTTCATCGAAGCCAGAGAACATATTCCCATAGTGGTACTTGTCGAGGTGGTACATGCACTTTTCCTGCACACTCATGCTTGTAGCTAAGGGCATAAATCGTCAAAGCTGCCCTAACCCTCTCAGTTCCTCCTTGCCACCCATAGATGGACAGTGTGAGCATCTCACATCTTTCCCATTAGAAATATTTTTAGCATTCTTTTATTGTAAATGGTTTAGTATCGCTGTAGTTTAGATAGTGGTACTCATTTTCAAATATTTTCTTGTTTTTAGCTTGTTCTTCTTCAAGTTTTATTTTTCAATACCAGGGCATGTCTTAATCCTTGGGATTTAAGTGCTGTTTGATTGTAGCAAATCTATGACAGTCACCGATTCTCACTCCCACTGCTTGAAGTGGGAAGGACACATTATGCATAAGTACTCTATTTGTAGGGGGTTTAAAACCCAGTCAAAGAAATTGAAGGCAGTTTTACTTTGAGATGTCCTGGTGGAAGCAGCTTTGTGTCCCCATTTGGAACCCAGCCACTTGGTCATACAGGGATTCAGATTCAACTCTCTAAGCACACCGCCAGACTTCGTGGCCTTCCCATGTCAAAAAGAGTCAGAAAGAAGATATCATTCTCTAACATGCAATGAGCAGAAGTCATCCATCAGCTCAGCCTCTTCAACCAGAAAAAGTCATCATAGTCTTCATTGTCGTCTTCTTCAAAGAAGACCACTAGTGAGGTTAGAGCTAAACCAGGTCCAGTGAGGCTCTTCCCCATATTCCCACATTCAATCAATGCAGAGTTGTCAACTCCAACACCTCATGGCCAGTCAAGACCTTCAACAGCATAGACTTTACGGCTGAGACCTTCAACAGCATAGTCTTCTGCTGCAATGCATGTTACTGTTTTGGTATCTACAACACCTGAGGTGTATGCATCAGCCACTGATACTTTATGCCTGTTGGTGCTGGATTACTATTAGTGCAGAACAATGTCCAGGCTCTGCCTATTCCTCTAAGCATGGTACTGGCATCCTCCTTGGCACTGACATATTCAGTGCCATTGGGAACTGAGCCTTTGTAAGTAGTGCCAGAGTCTTGAAGCTCTATTGTCCAGCAGGTCCCTTTATCAAGAAAGCCCCAGATGCTTCCTCTGGTACTCTCCATCTTACGTTGGTTTAGGTCCCACAACCCATCTGCTCCACACAGTACCTTGCCAGCTTGGCATTCCAATGCTGGCTCTTCTTCAGACTAGAAGTGGGATCCTAAATATTGGGATCTCATTACAGGAGATCTTAAGCATCTCCTTATTCCTCATTGTGCAGGTCATTGTTCATAACTTTTACAGGAGCAGACTGAGACATAGCTTCCTTTGGAGTTGAGCATGGTACTGCATGAAGTACAGCAGTGGACTTTCTGGAATCCGAGGGGTTTCTCCAGACTCCAGGTCATCTTCTCAATCAAAGTGCCATTCTCTAACTGTTACCATTCTATTTACCAGCACTGGTACCCAGCAGCTGAAGGAGATTATCCCTCCAGTTTCTGACCCTCCTGTTATAGATGTTCAGCAGACAGTAGAGCAGATTGACACTAATCCTTTCACTCAGCACTTCTTCATTATTTACAGATGAGGCTCCTGTTTCAGAATCATCTTCCCCTGACCTAGACAACTATAAAATGTACCAGGAATTTATGAAAAGGGTAACCACCTCTCTAGGAATACAGACTGAGTTGGTTCAGGATAATCCACACAAACTGGTGGTGGTTCTTCGAATACTGTCCCTATAAGTGCTCCACTGTAGGTGCATCTGTGCTTCTGCACCTCTAATGGGAGATTGTTGGTAGCAGTGTCCCTTGAGCCCACACATATTCTCTTCCTCCCTCATGGTCTGCCTCAAGGCAATCTAGCATTGCAGGAGTGAACCCCCCTCAGTTCCTTCTCAACCTCCTTTGTCCTCAAATGGAGCAAGCAGTTGTCCCTTCCTTATTTGCATCATTAGCATAAGTAGTGGTTGTTTTTGTTTGTTTTGCTCTCCTTAATAGTTAGTGTTTCTTTTTTATCCCATTGGGATTAAAAAAAAGAAAAAGAATTTGTTTGTTTCCTTTCCTGTCTGGGGTGATCCTTCCCCTCCCACAGAGTGTTTAGAAGACACTCTTTAAAAAAAAAATCACTTAAAAAAAAAAAGAGGAGAAGAAGAAGAGTATCTGGTGCCAGGGAGAGTCCCATATCCCTCGGAAGCGATCCCATACAACTAGCTAAAGCTGTGGTATTGCAGGAACTGGGAACTGAAGTTAAAACTCCTCCTTATGGAGAAGACACTTCAGTCTCCAGGGGACTCCGGTGCCAACCCCAGATCATCCCCGAGCCTTTAACTTCAAAGGGGACAGAGTCATGTAAAAAACCAGCAGACTCCCCCTGTAAAGGCTCATAAAAAGGATTCTGAGTGGTTGGCCAGCCAGAGGGGTTCCCCAGTGCAACCATCTTGATACCCACGGCACCGGTAGCTCTGGAGCACGGTACCCAGAAGGGGGCCTCCACTAAAAACTCCCATCTAGGGAGTGCTCTACACCCTCTCAACCATTGGTACTGACAATGTACCACTGACAATCCTCTCCGGTACCAAGTGAGCCCACGGTATCACATGAGCTCCGTTACCCTGGAGACCTGACAACTGGGGGAGAACAGCAATCCCCATTACTTGATACCAGGGCCCTGGTACCAAGCACATCCCAGTGGCCGGAATCGCTCTCGGCTCCGGGCCATGTATCACCAATACCCCACTCAGTGCCACTCTTACCCAGTGACAAGTCTGACAAGGAGGAGATCATTTCCCTGGCCCCTTATCTTGGCCTGCTGTCACAATACAAGGGGACTTCTCAACTCCATTGACCTGACCCACAATTGTGGTACATGGCCCCTGGGGCAACCCCACTTCCCCCATGCCCTTCCCCCTCTCCAAGGCTATATTGGGGTGATGTAGACATCCCACACGTCACAGCTGTCCAGTGTCTCTCACAATCTCCTACAGCCTGGTTGTCCAGAGCTCCTGAGCCAGGGGAGGAAGAAGCTTTTGCAGAACAGGAAGAAGGGTTCAAAGGGGAAGCTACTCCTCCAGCAAACTTCTCCTCATCTCCACCAGATGAGGCTGTATGACCCCCGCCCCCCATCAGTAGGTGTTGATTTTAAAAACTTTCTGGATCATACCAAGAGGGTGGCAGATGAGATGCACATTCCCCTACAGGAGGTGGCAGATACACATCATGAGCTGGTGCATATTCTGCACACCTTCTCCTCATCCAGAATTGCCCTCCCAATTAATGAGCCGATTCTAGGTCCTGCCAAAGTTATCTGGCAGACACCAGCCTCCATTTCAACAACCAGCATGAGAGCTGACAAAAAATACTACAACCCTCCGAAAGAGGCATACTGCCCTGTTTCAACATCCGCAATCCAACTCCATCTAATGGATGCAGTTAAAGCACGAGGCATGCAACATCATGCCAAGTCAACCCCATCCAATCGGGATTGGAAGGATTGCGTATTTGTTGGTGACATTACAGTTTAGAGCCGTGAATTACCAAGCTGTCATGGCCAAATATGATTTTATTAATTATGGGAAACTCACTGCATTTCTGGAACATTTACCTGAGATGCAAAAGGAGCACTTTCAGGCCATTGTCAGAGAGGGTCAGTTAATAGCCAGAATGGTGCTACAGATGGCACTGGACGTAGCTGATATAGTGGCTCGCTTAGTCTCCATGACAGTGGTAATGATGCAGGCTTCTTAGCTACAACTTTCTGTGTTGCCCAAAGAAGATCTCCAGTTTGAAGGGCCCAAGAAGATAGATTCCTCTCTACATACCTTGAAGGATTCCAGATCACATTACACTCCCCAGAAATCTACACTGCAGAACAGAAGAGAAGATATAGCTCTCAGTCACAGCACAGATCACAACCTCCTCAAAACCAACCATCTTAGTACAGTTACAAGCTGCAACATAAGAGGACCAGAGCTCAGAAACGGAATCAGTCAGCACCCCAATCAGTGACCTCTCAAACCACCGCTTCTAAGCACTTTTGACGGGTTAGTTGAGGGCCTGAACAATTATACCTTGCAACATCAGCAGCCATCTACACATCTATTACGCCCCTTCACCTGGCCCTCTTTCACAGCCGTTGAGAGAATATCCCTCTGATAGATGGGTCCTGGAGATTATTTCGAAGGGTTACGCCATTCAATTCACATCCCTTCCCCAACCTTCCTTCCCCATCCTTCTTTAGGGACCCTTTTCACGAGAAGCTACTTCATCAGAAAGTAGATAATTTGTCATGCCTCGGGCCCATAGAACCAGTCCTGGCACAAATTAGGAGCAAGGGGTTTTACTCCCATTATTTCCTGATCCCCAAGGTGAAGGGAGTTGGAGGCCCATTCTAGATCTAAGGATATTAAACAAATATGGGAAGGCACAGAAGTTTAAGGTGGTCATGTTAGCAGCCATCATTCCAGCTCTAGAGCAAAGAGATTGATTTCTGGCCCTTGACCTACACAACGCCTACTTCCATATCTCAATATAACCATTGTACAGGAGATTCCTATGGTTTACCTTTGGGTATGACCTTTATCAGTACAGACGGCTTCACCCAGGGTATTCTCCAACGTACTCTCCATCATAGCGGCACACTAACCCCAGTACAGCGACTGGAATTTATCAGCGCCAACCTCAATCCAGTACAAGTGAGAGCATTCCTCCCACTACACAGACTTACCCCCCTTACAAGTCTCATAGAGACATCCAGACCAGCCCCAAACATCAGCCAGGAACTGTCTGCAACTGCTAGGTCATATGGCAGCATGCACCTTTGTCATTCCAAATGCCCAGATGTTCATGAAGTGTCTTGAGATGCAGCTCACATCTGTCTATTCCCCTAGCAGGGACAGACTAACCAAACTGTTATCACTGCCCTTCACAGTAATGCACTCCCTGGATTGGTGGAAAGACCCATCCAATATCTGAGCAGGCATTCCATTCATGCAACCGCCACTGATGCTGACTGTAACAATGGATGCCTTTCACCTCAAGTAGGATGGATGCCTCCCTAATAGGCTGGGGAGCTCACCTATACAACCACAAGGTTCAGTGCACAAGTGGCTTTCACAGAAGTGATCCTCCATATCAATGTTTGGAGCTAAGAGCTGTCAGGAATGCCTGTGCAATTAGTTCATAAGTGTTCACTCAGGTCCGGCAGAATGCAAAAGAGGAGGCAGTTACTCATCTTGTGTAATAATGATGGTTCTTTAAGTTGTGTGTCCCTGTAGGTGCTCTCTCCCCTCTACTTCAGAGTTCTACACAAGGGGTCTGCAGTAGAGAAGGAACTGAGGGGGGTTCACCTGCGCAGTGCTAGATAGCCTCAAGGCAGACCATGAGGGAGGGAGTGCGCATGTGCTGGCTCAATGGACACTGCTACCAAAAATCTCTGATTAGAGGCGCAAGGGCACAGATACACCTATAGTGGAACACCTACAGTGGAGCACCCACAGGGGGACACATCTTGAATTACCATCATTACTGCACAAGGTGAGTACCTGCCTCATATTTTGCATTCTGCAGGACCTGAGTGAACACTCATGAACTAATGCTACATATACTTAGTGAGGATGTGTCTTGCAGTTCCTTATGTTGCACTGCCTGGAATCTTTGGACCTAGTGGTCAGCCACAGGTCTTCATGCTGTCTCTTTCCTTCTGGGCTTGCTGGCCTCTCTGGAGCTGTTGAGGAACAGTTAAAAGCAAACAGTTGTTGTTTGATATTTGGCTGACCCAACCAAAGTAGATTTATCATATCCCTACTGTCCAACTTTATCTTACTAAGAAGAATTTGGTTTGGTCTGCCAAATTGTGGCCAGAACTGAGAGCAGACTTCACCAAATAGTGTAGACCCCATCTGGTCGCTGGACTCCCTGAGTATGCTTCTTGCACATTTTCATTGCTGGAACTCATACCATAGTATATTGCTAGTATGTTGGCAGCCATTTTACTAGCTGAACCAAACCATTAGTAGCTGTAGTGAGCTGACTCAGATAAACGTTGCTCTTTGTATTTTGCATTTTTATCCTCTTCTGGGAGTTTTACGCAGGAGCCAGTCCCACCCTTTCACCAGGGCTCAAGCTGGGGGTTGGGAAGTTGGTGGTACTCTCTTAATCTCTACTCTCTTGGTATACCAAGGTGAGATGTTACTCTCAGGAGATTCTGCAGATGCTCAAAACTTGGTTGCCTCAGAGTGTGGTTTTCATACACCTTTGGGTAGGGCTGGGTTAAGGCACAGACACAAATAGGAACCTACTGTCTGGCTCTCAGGGTCCTATGCTGACATCAGAATCTCAACCTTCATTAAAACATATTGGTTCTAGTCTGCATAGTTTTGAAAATATTCAGCTGAGCATAACTGATTTTGTGATGTCTGCATGAGTCTGCAGCAAGAGCCATTAGAGGCAGGGAAGCATCCTCCTGACTCCACATTTAGAGGTTGGAGGTTGAGGAACTAACCAGCTAAAGGCTGCAGCTCCAAAAGAAAGACTCTTCCCACCTATGTAAACAGAGTTGTGCTTAGCTGCTTGTCCTTTCAAGGAAGGTGCAGCATATGCTTACACACCTTTCCTCAAAGTCACATTGGCCCAGCTCTGCCCAGGTTGGACTGCCTAGCTTTTGGAGAGCTGCCAATTTTGTGAAGCCCTTCCACTCAGTGCAGCCATAGCTCCAGGGCCTTCGCTGGTTCCAATGCCAATATCTCTTGGGAAAGGAGGTGGTCTGTCAAGCAGGTAGGTCATTCACTGATCCTTAGGCTGTAAACAGTATCTCATTCTAGTAGCTAGCAGTGCTACCGATACAGAACAGTCAAAAGAGGATGATTTGATGCTCCAAGTGAGAAACCCAGCTCCCCTCTGCTCTTTTTACAATGATTCTTTAAGCAGAGCTGACACTGGCCACTAACACTCTGCAAAGTCTCCTCATGGATTTGAGAACCATTAGTCAGACACATGCTGGAGCTGTGTTGTCAGGGGCCAGAATGAAAATTGGAAAGACAAGTGGCTCCTGCAAAGACAGAGCCACAGATTTGGAGTCCTGAAGGCCCAACCACCTTTGCATGGAAGAGAAACAGAAGAAGTTATTGCAGAAGCTTACATGGCTTTGCCCTTGTTGTTTCTGGGGGAGAACTTGGCAGAGTTTAGTTGGCCTAGCCACCTCAGCCACAGAGCATAAACTCCAAGTGGGTTAGGGAGGAAGAGCACAATATGATGTGTAGAGAGCGAGTCAGAAAGTTTGATTTGTCAAGTATGAAATGTTTTCCAGAAACTTGTGATTTTGTTTGACTTGCATCTTGACCCATCCATGCATCTTAACCCAAATCAATTCACTATTGGAAGCCTTTTTGTCACCTCTCTGCAATTTAAAGTGTTCCGTTAAACAGGACTGGTTAATCACTAGAGGATTTGAATAGAATTTGTACACAACTAATGGAATACTGTAAATGCTTTAGCTAACCTATGTCCTTCATGGGAATGTGTCAGTGATTGTGTTTTCATGTGTCTTTTCAGATATGAGATGTGAACCTGCACCGGAGATTTCTGATGGTAAGATTCTAGATGCTAAACAGCGAAGGTATTTCCCTGGCGAGAGGGTGCGTTATCGATGTACACAAGGTCTGAGCCTTATTGGGTCTCCAACGGTAACATGTAAGCAAGGGAAGTGGTCCCAACGACCAGAATGCAGAGGTATTTTACTTTCCTATTTCTAAAATAACCTAATAGTGATGATATTGTTAGAGTCAAAAACTTCACTCTCATTCAGAAGAGTTTGCTTCCCTGTATCTCTTCTTTTAATGTACAAGTTTATGCTCACTTGAAAGCCAGAAAGCAAATCTATTTCTAGTCTGTGATGTTCTTGGCAATGGTCATGTGGAACATTAATGAGAAAATTCTCACATTGGGCCAGACCCTAAGCTCCTTATTCAAGCAAACCCTCAGTGGATTTCAATGGGAGTTTGGCCTGAATAACTTCTGAGTAAAGGTTGAGGGCCAAATTTTGCCACCCCTGCTCATGTTGAGTAGTTAACATTGACTTCAGTGTACCTAGTATAACCCACACACCTCCTGGCTGTGGTGCTCTGTCCCCTCTAATAGCGCTACGATCACTTAGAGATTAATGAGTCTACTACAGCCTTCGCTAAGGGCCATATGGCTTTTAGCTCATGCTGTAGAGGCTCGTGCATTTAGCTCCAGAGTCCCAGATTTGATCCTGCCCCCCGATGACCAGGGTCTGTCAGCGTTTCACTAGTCTGACTAGTTAGGACTTCAGGATTTGACCCATAACATAATGTGAATAAGGTTGCATAATGGTGCTCTTTTTTGTATTATTTAGGACCACAGTTTCACTACCACTCCCAGATGAGCTAGACAGTACACAAGAGACTATTAGTGAAATGCCCACTCCATTGAAGTCAGTGGAAGAAACTTTGTTTGACTTCAATAGGACCAGGATAACACCATATATCATTAAGCTTCCGGAAAAAAAGTGATGTCACTTTACTGCAGAGGTGGGCAAACTACGGCCCAGGGACTGCATCCGGCCCTTCAGACATTTTTATCCGGTCCTCAAGCTCTAGCCAGGGAGCAAGGTCCAGGGCTTGCCCCGCTCTGTGCATGCTGGGACTCCGGGCGGCTCCCGGAAGCAGCAACACATCCCCCCTCCACCCATAGGTGCCAACTTTCTCCGGCGCCGGAAGGGGGCTCGCACCCCCACCGCCCTGGCCCCGCCCCGACTCCACCCTTTCCCCACCCTGACCCTGACCCCATTCCAACCCCTTCCCCAAACTCGCCACCCCAACTCCCTGCCTCTATTGGATCCCTTCTCCAAATCCCCGCCCCAGCCCCGCCTCTTCCCCCAGCGTGCCACGTTCCCCCTCTCCCCCCCTCCCTCCCTGCCCTGCAAAACAGCTGTTTTGCAGCGCAAATGCTGGGAGGGAGAGAGGAGAAGCAAGACGCGGTGGTGCACTCGTGGAGGAGGCGGAGGTGAGCTGGAGCAAGGGGGTCGGGGCGGTGAGCTGGGGCGGGGAGCTGCTGGTGGGTGCTGAGCACCCACCAATTTTTCTCCATGGTTGCTCCAGCTCCAGAGCACCCACGGAATTGGCACTTGTGCCTCCACCTCCTATGCATATGGGAAACCAGGGGGCTATGCACACTTCCCCCGCAGCTCTCATTGGCCAGCAACCACGGCTAATGGGAGCTGCAGGGGCAGCGCCTGCAGACAGGACAGAGCTGCCTGGCCACGCCTCCACATAGGAGCCAGAGGGAGGACGTGCCGCTACTTCCGGGAGCTGCTTGAGGTAAGCGCTGTCTGGAGCCTGCACCCCTGACCCCCTCCTGCGCCCCAACCCCTTTCCCTACCTCTGATCCCCCACCTGCCCTCCGAACCCCTTGGTGCCAGCCCAGATCACCCTCCTGCACCCCCAAGCCCTCATAGAATCATAGAATCATCGAATATGAGGGTTGGAAGGGACCTCAGGAGGTCATCTAGTCCAACCCCCTGCTCAAAGCAGGACCAATCTCCAACTAAATCATCCCAGCCAGGGCTTTGTCAAGCCTGACCTTAAAAACCTCTAAGGAAGGAGATTCCACCACCTAGGTAACCCAGTGAAAAAGTTTTTCCTAGTAGCCAACCTAAACCTCCCCCACTGCAACTCCTTATCCCCAACCCCACCCCAGAACCCACACCCCCAGCAAAAGCCATCACCCCAACCGCCAATTTCGTGAACATTCATGGCCCGCCATACAATTTCCATACCTGGATGTGGCCCTCGGGCCAAAAAGTTTGCCCACCCCTGCTCTACTGGTTCATTTTTATTTTTTTTTTGGTTTTTTGATATACCAGGATTTCATTGGCTATCTGGGTGAATATGAATATTAAAAAAAAAAAAACAAATAAATCTGCAGAGTAACAGCACCTTTTTCTGAAAACCAAAATTGTGATTCTAAAAACTAAATAGATAGTAATCTGCAAGTATTGTTTACATTGAGTGGTACTATGACTAAGGCTAAGATTATGTCACGGAGGTCATGCAAGTCATGGAATCCATGACTTTCAGAAACTTCTGTAACATTTTCTGCTTCAGCCCCAGGGCAATATAATGTAGTAATGGCAGAACAAATTGTGAAATACATATAGGTTAACATGCATTATTTCTAAGATTGTCAAACAATTAAAAAATTAATCACGATTAATGATTAAATTAAAAACATCACGATTAATCCCAGTTTTAATAGCAGTCCTCTAGATTGGTGGTTGAAGCATGAAGGGGCATATGAATGTTTAGCATATCTGGCATGTAAATAACTTGCAATACCGGCTACAACAGCGAAATGCGAATGCCTTTTCTCATTTTCAGGTGGCATTGTAAATAAGAAGCTGGCAGCATTATCTCCCGTAAATATAAACAAACTTCTTGTTTGTCTTAGCAATTGGCCGAACAAGAATTAGGACTGAGTGGACTTGTAGGCGCTAAAGTTTTACATTGTTTTGTTTTTGAGTGCAGTTATGTAACAAAAAAAATCTACATTTGTAAGTTGCACTTTCATGATAAAGAGATTGCACTTCAGTACTTGTATGAGGTGAATTTAAAAATACTATTTCTTTTATCTTTTTACAGTGCAAATATTTGTAATAAAAAAATAAAGTGAGCACTGTATACGTATTCTGTGTTGTAACTGAAATCAATATATTTAAAAAAGAAAAAATCAAAAATATTTATAATAAATTTAAATTGTTATTCTATTATTGCTTAACTGGGCAATTGAAACTGCGAATAATCACGATTAATTTTTTTAATTGAGTTAATCTGTTTTGCGTTATTTTTGTGAGTTAACTGTGATTAATTGACAGCCCTAATTATTTCATTTTAGAAAAAAAAATTTAATGCAGCTAGTACATTTCTAAATAAAGCCTTAATGTCAGAAATAAAGGAGAAATGTTAATATATATAAAATCAGAGTTTTAGCTGAAAATATTCTTATTCATTTACTGTATTTTTAAATAGTCATTAAATAATTATACAAAGTCTTAATGATAGAAGCATAAAGGAGAAGTGTTAATACATATATAGAATGCTCTACTTTTAGTAGAATATATGCTTTTTATACAGTTAGTGCATTTCTAAATAGTCATTAAATAATTTAATCATTCATCAATAATTCTTTGTGAAATTGTTTAATCAACTTTATTTAGAATTCTACTAACTGCATATTTTTTTCTAAAAATCATTCTCTATATATTCTTCTATAGACATGTACTATTAAAAATATTTTCCTCTAAAAATGAGGAATATTCATGTTCACCTATGTCTTAACACTACTTTATTCGGCCATTCCTAAGATTTCTGTGAACTATTAATGTACTAACTGTCATTTTCTCTAATGATGCACGTTAGCCTCTCTATTTTTCTGTTAAAACTTTGTATACTTGTTTACTAGACTTTATTTAGGATTGCACTAAATATGTAAAATGTTTTCTTGCTAAAATGAGGAAAGGGTAAGAAACATATTTCTTTAGTTCTAATGCATCTAATAAGAATCAATTAAATAGAAAGGCAAAACTTTTTTTCAAAATGGCCACTAGTGCTAGAAATGCACATTTCTAAAAATGAGATCTAAGGATGATCTAGATATAAGGCAAAAGAAGCTGGTCATAAAGCAAAAAGGGCTCAGGGAAACCTGTCAAATTATATGATCAGTACAAGTAAAGTTTTTTTACTACTCATGTTAATTTGTAGCCTTAGCGTTTTCAAAATTTTACCTTGTTTATCCTAATCCCTTTCTATGAGAAGAGAAGCAGAGAGAGGAAAAGGCTGCTGGCATTTGAAAGTAAATTTCCAATTATGAGTTTGGCTTCTCTATTAATTATTTTTAAAATCCACCTCACTGAGGCACCTTTCCAAAGGGCAAAGCTTAGCTACATTTATGAGTTCATCAGTTATAGGGACATCAAGAGGCTTTCCTGTCCTCAGATTCATTCTTTCCTTTCTCCCCTCATTTTTATACTATTCATGCCAATTTATCTCTCTAGTGTTATTCTGAGTTTCATATTCCACTCCTTGGACCTGTATTATCCCAACTTCTATTTAGCCTGCATCCTCTTATCATTATTTTACTCTCAGTCTCACTCCTCTATCAATATTCAGATACTATGGTAATGTCATAATTCACAATACTCTGAGACAAGTGCTGGGTGCATCCAACACCCTACATGGTAATATGGTCATGGAGAGAGTAGGTACTGTACATGGATGAACTCCTCAGTGATAAAAAGCAGGTTGATTGGTCCACATGAGCCTGAGGAGGGGAGGAGTTGGGCCAAAGTCTCTCACTTTCCATTTCCCTGCTAGTCAGTGTTTAAGGCAGAATGGTGGGATTAGTAGGACAGATGATTGACCCAAAAGATCTCAAGCTAACCTAATTCTCTGTTTGAAAAGCAACCTGGAATCAGGTCTTGACAAAGCTAGAGTAGCTAGTTACCTATTTTGCCATCAGTTCCATAGTGTTAGTTGTTAATAAACAAACATCATGCTGCTTCAACTTTAAAGATAAAACTTTTAGTTTTTTGTGTTCAGTTCCAATATCAGGCTGATTCTTTTTCGCTGTTCCCTTGGGATTTTTCCAGCTCTGTCAGAGTATATTGATGGCACTGTTGTGTAATATTTGTGATCTTATAGCATTTACTGTAAATAATTGCTGATGCAAATATTCTCTATTTCTATACTTATTTTTAGAGGCTGCTGGAAAGTGTGGGCCCCCACCTGGTATTGATAATGGAGACACTATTGCCTTTGCACAGCCAGTATATGAATCAGGTTCAACCGTGGAATATAGATGCAAAAATTTACACAAAATGAAGGGATCTCCATTTGTTCGCTGCGAGTCTGGCCAATGGGCAAACCCACCAGTTTGCTTAGGTAGGTACAAAAAGCTATTATATGAAAAAGAACTGTGATGAGTATATATTTTTCATATTATGAGCCCAGTTCTGATGTCACTTGTTGTGGTGTAACACCACATTAATTCCATCAGTCTGAATGGAGTTACTCCTGATTTAGACAGGAATATGTTAGGGGAAGACTCTCCTTCTTTTTAGGGATATCACAGCAGATTTTTTTTTAAAAGACCAGGAAATGGCAAACAGCCATGCTATTAGAAGTATTTAGAATGTACCCCCAAAATAATATCTCAGTTAAAACCTGTAAAAACCCACTACAATGAAACCAATGTTTACTGTAAGTGAAAAGATGTATTCAAATATATTTTTATTTTTAAAAAGCTTTCAATTAGAGTAGATGCTATGAACTACAATTCAGTAACTTATAGAATTAGTGCTAGGAGTATACATGATAGGGACATGAGCAGCAGCAGATTCCTCTTTTGCCTAGGGGGAGCTCTAATGTCATAAAACTAATGTAGTCTGCTCTACACCCATATCTTTCTAACCTCCCTATGCTCAGAGTGAGAGGAGGGAATGGCTGGAGTACATTGTGGTGCAGTGTTCCAAAGCTGGGCAGCTACCTCTGTGTGGTTCTTAAATTATGGTGAACTTATCTTGTGGGCTGGTTTGTCCTGGCCCTGACTTCACATCTCGAGAATAACTTGACATGTCCCCTTTCTCTCCTGCCATGTAACCTATACAAAAGGGGTGGTGGACCACAACGGGGAGCCCGATTTGCTAGCTTTATACCAGCAAAGAGCATCCTTCCACGTGGAGAGTATTCTGTTGGCCAGGTATGGTTAGGGTCTGGCCCATTTGCATCAGCTGAGTGGCAAAAAGGGGCCACATTGTAAAATGGAATTAAATCCTGTCTTACTCTCTGTTCATCTAGTCCCAGTCTCCTCTCTGTCCCTTCCCACAATATCACACCATTTGGTATGAAAGCCTTCTCTAGAGTTCCTTTTTGTTCTCTCAACCGTACCATCTCTCCTTTACTTTTCAAATCTTGTCTGAAAATATTTCCCTGTTTTATTTAACTATGTAAAGCATTTGGGGACAGTTTCAGTGTCAATATAGTTAGTGAATCAAATTTCCAAAAATAGATCCACATGTACATAATGACACTACATTTTTCTTTTTCCAGAGCCATGTACAGCATCCCCAGAAGAGATGGAAAAAAACAATATTGAGCTGAAATGGAGGGAGACCACTAAATTGTATTCAGAAAGTGGAGATTTTATTGAATTTGACTGTAAAAGGGGATATGAGAGGGATCCACCATCTTCTGAATTTAGAGTACAGTGTGTGGAGGGGAAATTAGCATATCCTAAATGTAAGAAAAGAGGTAAGTAATCTCCAATTACACTACAGTACTGGTGAATCATCTGACTAAAAGATTTCTTAATTTTTACTGAGGAATTCTAGGGTTTAAAAAATACAAAAATGCATGGCAGAGTGGCACTATTGTGATGGGTTCCATATAAACTCATGGGAAAGCATGGATCCTGACCCAGACCTCTTGCAATCTAAAAAGATAAGACAAATGGGGGTAAAGAGATGCAGCTCGCAAGCAAAGTGACCACACTACTACTTGAGTTGTGACAATCACCCTCTGACATCTGGACTTCTGTGGGTTACTGACAGGATAGAAAATTTTTTGCAAGTGTCTTGTCTTACCCAACTTCTCTGGCTGGCTGAGTTCCTCATGCAGGCAGCTGACTTCCATTGTGGTCTGCAGTCCTTTGATATCCCTCTGACGCTGATTTTTAGCTCCTAAATCCTTGCTTCAGCAAGCACTGTTTACAGGTTACATGTTAGGCAAAGCTCTCCTAGACTCCTCTACTTCCTGGGAAACCTTCTGATCCATGGGAGTCAGTTTGCTTGTCACCTCATTTATCTGCCTTGCCTGTCCAGAGTGGGAGTCTTACCCAACTTCTCAGTCTGCCCAGATACTTTGTAGCTGCTGCTACAGGAAAGATTTAGGCCATGTCTATACTTACAACTGACAGCGGCACAGTTGTACCAATACAGCTGTGCCACTGTCAGAGCGCTCGCCTAGCCTCCTTATGCCGATGGGAGAGAGCTCTCCTGTCAACATAGTCAAACCAGTTCAGTGAGATCTCTCATTGACATCACACTGTGCATGTGTGCGCTTATGACGGCAAAAGTTAAATTGCACGGGGGGTATTTTTTCACACCCCGAGCGACAAAATTTTACCAACATAACTACTAGTGTAGCCATGGCCTTAGATTTCATGTCATCTCTCAAGCTACATCTACACTACAGGGGGGGGGTCGATTTAAGATACGCAAATTCAGCTACGCGAATAGCATAGCTGAATTTGACGTATCGCAGCCGACTTACCCTGCTGTAGGGGCGGCGGCAAAATTGACCTCTGCGGCTTCCCGTCGACGGCTTACTCCCACCTCCGCTGGTGGAGTAAGAGCGTCGATTCAGTGATCGATTGTCGCGTCCCAACGGGACGCGATAAATCGATCCCCGAGAGGTCGATTTCTATCCGCCGATTCAGGTGGGTAGTGTAGACCTAGCCTCAGTCCTTTCTGGTAAACCTCCCACTGTTGCCTCAATACCTTTTGCAAAGTCTCCAGCTCCTGTTTTAGGCGTTGTTTTAATCCTTTTGACCATCTTTGACTTTGCACTTTTTAGCCTAAGCCTTTAGCCACTATTCAGGGTCTTCCACCTTTTTTTTCTGTTGGGAGGGGAAAAAATGGTGTAGTGTCAAGTATTTCCATGACACAGCCCTTGTTATTTACAAAGAATGGGCACAAAATCCTGTTTCTCTGAACAGTTGGCTCAGACAACAGGAGGCAGTTTCCTTGCTCACAATTCCAAGCCTACCTTTACATTCACCAATCTGACCAAAAAGATCTTTTCTGTCATAGCCATGCTACCAATACATCTACTGCTGTCTCGCCATAGCTTTCTGGCATGCTCACACATACACACACGCATGCACACACTCCCTCCATCCCTCCCTCATTTAATCCCCAGCCCTCCTATTGTCAATCCCTAGAGAAACTACTCAATCAGAATTGCTTTAGCCTTTTCCCAGGCCTTGCATATGGTCTAGTCTATGGGCAGTGGTTTCCATTGTGTCAGCTATCACTAGACAAAGGGGCATGTAACTGTTTCCTCATTTAGCCTGAATGAAAGATGAGTATCATGCCCATTAGTTTAACTGAGGTCTATGACTGCCCATCGATCAGACCTGCTTACTGCAAGCTACTTTATCTCCAGTACAACAATACTATCAAATTTATTGATGGAAAAATCTATTTTGTCTTACATCATTCTAGTTCTCCTGTCTTCTGATAAAGAAGAATCATAATTGCTGATCTTCTTCCCATATTAGGATGACTGTATTATTGTGGCAATTCCCACATCACCTTTTGTAAACTAGTCTGAGAAATGACACCTGCTTTATAGCATTATGGGAACAGAAGCAAAAAAACTGTGCATACATATGAAGAAGGCTGTGTGGAAGCAGCTGCTAAGAAGTCATGGAATGAAACAGGTTCAAGATCCCTGCTCCAAAAATTCCATCACTTTCAAATGCTAATAACTACACCATGGATACTGATAAAATACAGTAATATGTAGTAAATCAATGTATGGTTTTCTGTGCTACTTTTAAGTTCCACTTCAAAATAAGTAATCGTTTTTAATATGGAAAAACAGTTGAACCACTGCAGTTCAGGGGTAACTGCAATTACGCTTGATGGAGTTTGTTCCCATTTACTTTCCAAAAAAGGTTAAAACCATCTAGTATGAGTTTTATGTCATTCTGTTGAAATCAATATTCTGTTCCTGTGCAGTCCATAGGGGATTTGTATGTAATATTTGTTTTTAAAAAATTGACATGCACTAAACTAATTTTTTGTGTTTGTTCTCTCTCTGACAGGCACTTCAGGATGAATAAAAAGAAGCATCAAGCAGATAATTTTAACTCAGATCTAAGGATCAAAATCCATTGACCAGTTATTTGTAATGTTCACATATTATGTCCTTTGTCAGTATTTTAGCTTAAATTGATATGTATCAGTTCAGTCCCTTTTTTTATCATTGGTCACAATGGTTTAAAATATACAATCATAAAATAGTAACAACAGATGGGCAAATAAGTTCAAACTCAGATCAAGCTACAGCTTTTTATGATATTTGGAAAAGGAAACTTTAAGGGAAATTGTACATATCTGCACATCCTGAATTACACACTTCCTGCTTCCTGAAACAGAAAGCAGCAGTATTTCCCTCTGGCCCAAATCAGGAACTCCAGGAAGTCTCATTAGAAACATTAATCTTGAAAGATTGTTAGCCCAATCACCACACCAGAAAGTTTTGGATATGAATGGAGGCTTTTTTTGAGTTCTGCCCATCGTTATTAGCTGTTGGTGATCATTCTTCCAAATGTTTTAGTCCATGCAACCAAAAATTTATCCTGTCATCTACCACAGTTGTACAGAAAACACTGACTTCTCTGGTTGAAGTTGAAACTCATAATGTCTTAATTATTTTTCCTTTTTAAAATTAAAGATTGGTATGATTCATTTACCACTCTTCTTAAAAAGTCTGTTATTTGGACTTTTTCAGGGTTTTTTTATTAAGTAGGGTTACCATATTTCAGCGAGCAAAAAAGAGGACGGGAGGAGCCCCGCCCTAGCCCCGCCCCTGCCCCTCCCACTTCCCGCCCCCCCCTGACCTCCCAACCCTCCCCCCGTTCCTTGTCCCCTGACTACCCCCTCCTGGGACCCCTGCCCCTAACTGCCCCCCAGGACTATCTAAGCCTCCCTGCCTCTTGTCCCCTGACTGCCCCCTCCTGGGACCCCTGCCCCTAACTGCCCCCCAGGACTATCTAAGCCTCCCTGCCTCTTGTCCCCTGACTGAGATCGG